TTTGGTTTTATACTACGTTGCTAATATCAATAAGGTGCTATTAACGTTAAGAAGGTGTGTTTAGTGTCAATACAAGAGAGATACTAGTATCTCTCTTGTATTGACACTAAACACACCTTGGGGTCCTAGACATGTCAAAAAAATTAAAATTGAAGAAAATCTCTAAGGAGACCCCTAGGCCCCGAGCCCCAAATTCGGGGGGTCTGCAGGGACCCCAATTTGGCGATTTTTCAGCCAAATTGCGGGTTCCTAGACATGTGCAAAAAAATAATGAAAATTGAGGAAAATCTCTAAGGAGACCTCTAGGCCCCGAGCCCCAAGATGCGGGGGGTCTGCAAGTCCCAAACTTGCGATTTTTCAGCCAAATTGGCCACTCTCGGCGTCCTAGACATGTCCAAAAAATCATGAAAAAAACAATCCTTAGGGACCCAGGCCCCGAGCCCCAAATTGGGGGGGTCCGCAGGGTCCCAAATTGACGATTTTTCAGCCAATTTAACCATTCTCGGGTGCCTAGACATGTCCAAAAAAATCATGAAAATTTAAGAAAATTCCTAGGGAGACACCTAGGCCCCGAGCGCCAGATTGGGGGAGTCCGCAGGGCCCCAAATTGGCGATTTTTCAGCTAAATTGGCAATTCTCGGCTTCCTATGTCCAAAAAAAAAAAGAAAATTGAGGAAAATGCCTAGGGAGACCCCTAGGCCCCGAGCCTCAAATTGAGCGGGTCTGCAAGTCCCAAATGGGCGACTTTTCAGCCAAATTTACCATTCTCAGGTTCCTAGACATGTCCAAAAAATCATGAAAAAAGAAAATCCTTAGGGAGACCCTAGGCCCCGAGCCCCAAATTGGGGGGGTCTGCAAGTCCCAAATTTGCGATTTTTCAGCCAAATTCCTAGACGTGTGCAAAAAAAATCATGAAAAAACAAGAACTTCCGTAGGGAGACCCTTAGGTCCCGAGCCCCAAATTGGGGGGGGTCCGCAGGGCCAAAAATTGACGATTATTCAGCCAAATTCGCCATCTTCAAAGCTTTAGAGCTTCAAGCGAAACTACTAGCCTCAGGGCTTCACTAGCCTCAGGGCTTGGGGCAAAGCCAGGAGCTTCAAAATTTTAGGGCAAAACTCCGAAGCCAAAAGCTTCGGAAGCTCAAAAGTTTCGATTGTTTTCCGAACCAAGTTAGGGGGTCCCGCCTCGGGCTAATAGCCACCATTCATGACATGGATACAAGCGTGTTTTTGAAAAACTGCATATGTGTCTTGCTGCTTGTTTGATTGTTTTTCAGCTTGTATTTGTGTTCTGACATTTCCATGTTTCCCTTGTCGAGCTTTGTGTTACGTGTTCTGGTGACGCGAGCCAAGTGGTGTTGTTGTGTGGGCTTGGACTTGCCAGTTCTGAGGCAGCAAGTCATCTGCCTCGCGGACGTTCTGCTTGAAGCCGGGCAAGATGCACATGCATGGAGCCTGCTGCTAGCTGCACAGGAGGCAAAGTTGCTTCAAACAGCTTGCGGACAAGAAATCAAGCGCGTTCCTTGTGTTGGTCAGGCTGGAGTGCTGACTCTTTGGCAGGAGACACAGCGCGTTCGAAAGCTTTCCTGTGATCATTGGTGTTATACGGTGGTGTTGTCGGGGGTACAGTGCAGGGAGGCCGCATGTGGAGGACCCAGTCAGAACCGTTTCTTGGTCTGCTTTTCCCTCAACGTCGCTAATGCGGGCGCGATTTTTCAGGAAATGTGAGAACTCTCTACGGAAAATGTGTGTTGGCTTGAACTGTGGGCTCGTTGAGCTTCAAGGCCGGAATGTACATTGGGGAAGGCTTGCATGCAATTCCAAGGCGCTTTCCCGAATATCGAAATCTGCGAAGATACTCGCGAGTACTGTCTAAGACGAAGAATCTCATTGTGAAGTTTTTGGATGCCCGCTAGCAAAGACTGGTAAAGGTTTTGCGCAGTTCCTACGAAGGGAGTCGCATGATCAGACAAGTTCCATATCCCAGCCAGACAGCATGAATCGTTCCAGGATGCCTCCACGTTGGACCTGCATCAGCTTGGACACTGGCCCAGTTTGTTGAGCTCGCACAACCTTACCTTGGTTTTGCTCAAGCCCGAGCATTTGGCCTTTGATTTTTCATACCGGAAGGCACTTGCTCTCCGTCGGTAGCAGTCGCTGCGGTCGGTACCAAGCTTGGACCAAGCTGGTTTCTGGACCTTGTTGTACCCGTCCCGGCGTCAAGGTGCAATGCTTGCTTCATGGGCTTCTCTTCATCAATTTCGTGCTCGTCATGGCATGGCTGGATAGCCAAGTCAGGGAGCAATCGAAGTTCCTAATAACTGGAAATTCGTGTGGCAAGGCAATAGTTACTGGACAGGGCATCCATAGCCTTCATGGAGCTCCGATGCTCCTGCCCGCTGTTCTGCCTGGGTGCCCGGATGGAGAGGCTTGTCACGTGCACTTTGTTGTCATCGTTTTATTTCTTCCATGCAAAGGTCATTCCTTCGCGAGCGATTGGCAATTGAGGTATGGCAGGCAGAATGTAGGGAAGCTGTATTCAGAAGCTTTCTGGTAAGCACATCCTGGCACTCCAGGACTTACAGAACCCAGGCCGCCTCATGGCCCTGCGCTGAGGATTTCCTTGAGATGGGAGATTTTTTACCAGCCGTGTCTGCTAGGTTCCAGCAAGAGAGCTGCATCAGTTGTGGCAAGGGATCCAAAGTGATTCTGTTCCTAGCAACAAGCCCGATGTGCCAAAGTCTTGTGCATCAGAAAGGTTGCTTGGCTGGCTTTCCAATGGATGGGTGTGCCTACTTTGATCGGCCGCAGCTTCTCAAAAGCATGCTAGGTAGGAGGTCCAAACGTGTGCCATGAACGCCGCAAAACTTCAGCCAGTCCGCAGCCCAACAGCATGCAATGTCTTCCACGCCTCCCACGGTGCTTCTGAGCCGTTGTGAAAGGTTCGAGCATCCGCTAGCTCCACCTGGGCAATCGTGGGTGTGGTGTTGTTACTGCACCTTGTCTAAATAGGTTCACATGGGCATCCTATCTTCCAAGATGAGCGCAACTGTTTGTTGTTTCTCGAGTGGTCGTAGTCTTCTGTTTTGTCCTTCGGTAGTGAAGGCATGTGGAGGTTATGGCCCTGGCTTCCAGGTTGTTGGCATTCTTGTTGACTCTCAGGGTATGTGTGCATGCAACACTCCGAATATTGACAGACTACCGACGATGAGGTGATGAGCGATAGAGATGGCACATTGACATCAAAGTGTAGAAAACTGAGAATGAAATTGCTAGAGGTTGTCAGCAAACACGACATGGTCATTGACTTGTGTGCAAGGTTTTGCGCACTCGTAGCGAGGTACGAGGGACGACCGTGTGTGTTAGCTAAACTTTCTTCCCAGCGAAAGGGTCGAAGGTCTTTCGCAACCTTTTTGTACATGCTAAACCCTTGGGGTTTGAAACGGCAAGTTATTTGATAGATATCCGTGGCCGTTTTGATATCAAGCCCTCTACGTTAAGGGGGAAATTTTGAGTTCTGCACGGGAAAGGAAACGAAGGCTAAGCCTTTGCTCGTTTGCCGCCATGGAGGCGTCTGCTAGCTCAGCTAGCGATAGCGCCGACTCCATGGCTACAAGACAACTGCTGGATAGGTGCTATCGGCACTTGGAGGCCCAGGGGTTTGGGCCGCTGGAACTTGCTACGTTGGAATCAACGATAGCGACGATATAGCACAGCAGCTGGCATTCCTGCTGAGCCTTCCCTATTCGGAAGCCATAGTAGAGGCCCTAGCTATCTGGATACAAGATGCTCGGGGCAAAGCGAGATTGCTATGGCGAAGTCACGGCCTGTTGGCGGATGACCTGGTCTGGCACCAGCTAGCCCCCGTCAGAGACGGGGGCCCCGTCTGCGTGGAGGAAGCGCGACCCTCACCTGGAGATAAAGCTAAGAAGCTCATCAACGATGGGCAGGAGTTCGCAGCTAGAGAATTCTGGCTGCAGGAGGTCTGGGCGCGGAAGCTAGTGGAGGAGCTGAAGGCCTCGGACGCACCGGTGCTAGATAAGCTCAAGCTAGGCTTGGATCCAGAGAGACGCACGGTCCCGGAAGCTACTTGAAGGCTATCAGCTGGTTTGAGGCGGTAGCTGAGTTCTTCGAGGAGGACTGTGCTAGCTACGGGCGACTGGCCTGGGCGGCGAAAGATAAGATAGTCGAAGCCCTTTCTGAGGGGGCACCGTTAACCAAGCGAGCTCCACGCTATCCTACACTCCTCTTGGTCAAGATGGAGCGCTACGTGCTGGATGAAGGCGAACCCTCCGCTCTGAGGGTGATGGCGTGGATAAAGCTGCTAAAGAGTTGGGCTTGTCTACGATGGTCGGATCTACAGGCTACTACACCTAGCGAGCTACAACTTACAGAGGGCCGCTTGGCGACGGTGCTCCGCAAGACAAAACCTTCGGGCCCTAACAAAAGGGTTAAAGAGCTACCTGCCTGCGTTAGCAAAGCTGCCTTCTATGAAGATCCGAAATGGCTGGAAGCAGGCTTCCAGCCACTTAGAGAGCTGGCGAGCTACAAGCGAGACTACCGGGCCGACTTGGCGGTTTTCGAGAGGAAGATGGCAAGCTATGGAGATGCTATGGTAGCGTCGGGAGCACTGCTGGCTAGGCTACAGCTACCTGGGCTCGTTCAGGGCTTCTGGACAGAGCGCTCCGAAAAGAGCGTGCTACCTGCTGCGCTTTCGATAATCGGGATGCAGTTGCCAGAGAAGGACCTTCTAGGGCGATGAAGCCTGAAAGGTCCGACACATGCGCCCGGGGCAAGGCTAGCTAGAAAAGAGGCGCGCTGAGCATCTGGTAGCTCCAGAGCAGGAGCAGGCTACTCCCGGAGTGGAGGCGGACAGCGACGATAGCAGTGTGAGCCGGAAAAGGGGGAACCTCCCCTAGCCAGGGGTGCCTGATAGGGCTGCTTGTGACGTCGTAGTGGGGCTATTTTTCGCCTACATAGGGCAGGCTTGCTATACTCATATCTGCAAGCTTTGCTGGACCAAGGGCTGTGGGGATAGCGAGAGTGAAGCTAGCGAAGCCTCGCCTGCGGGGTCGGGGGATGACGAGGCGCTAGAGATTCCGGCAAGTCAACCCCCGAGGCAACGTGGCCTGAGGTCAACGGACAGCCCGCAGAGCTAGCTACCGAACTTCCTGCTCAGGAAGAGGCGGATGAATAGATAAGCCTGTTCAAAGGCTATGCTAAAAGTGCACCTGACATGTTTTGACTTGCTGTGTGCGTCAAGGGCTCACTTTGGGAGAGCCGATGGGCTTGAGATTGCATTCGTGGGTACCCATCCCCTCTCTTCGTCTTCGCGGTGTCCATCCCGCTTGCTAGCTGTGGTTGCGAGATTGAGATTTGCGAGGAACTTCTTGCGTGATTCCGGTGTCCATCCCATCTCTTCGCGATACCCATCCCGCTTTGCTAGCAGAAAGCTAGCTAGTGAGAAGCGCGTGCGTTTTTGGTAAGGTTCCATGGGTATCCATCCCCTTTCTTCTGCTAGGGGGTAGCCCTCCGAGGCCCTGAGGGGGGGAGGGGGAAGGGCTAGCTACTTCCAGGTGTTCGAGATGCCGCTAGCTGGATACAATGTTTTCAAATTGGAGAAACTCCTTGCTAGCCTTTTCCGAGAGGGCGCCAGAAGACAGACAGCTGACTAGGTTGCCTTCCCCTTCCTCGGTTTCCCTAACCCTTAGGCGTAGTCGGAGTGCGCGTCCGTGTGCAAGCTACCTCTTGCTAGCGGTGCAGTGCTACTACGATTCTGCTAAAGGGCTAGTGCGAGTGAAGCCTGAGAAGCCTGCGCCTACCTATTAATAGTTGGCAGGCTACTGCTACTCTGGTTCTTGCGAGAAGTTACTAAAGAATGGGCACCGTGGGTTTTTACCAAAGATAGCCCGAACAAGGTGATTGCCTCGCGAGAGTTGCTGGCTACGTTGATAGCCGTGAAGCTTCGGGTCCCTGACTCTAAGGACCGGCAAGTTTCAAAGGTAGCAATTCGTGGCTATACGGACTATCAGTCCCATGGGGCACTGGTCAAAAAAGCTATGACCACGAAATTTCCTTCCACGTTAGTTTTGCTAGAGCTAGCTCAAGAGCAAGCGGCGAAGTCCTGCGAGCTAGGCCTGACATGGATCAGGCGCGACGCCAATCAGCTAGCTGATGACCTCACTAACGAGAATTTTAAGGTATTCAGCCTTGATTTTCGGATCCCTCTCAGGGGTGAAGAGATCAAATGGCGAATCCTTGATAAGCTACTCGGCCACGCGGATGGCTTTTACCGAGACCTACTCCAGCGCGAGAAGGCTGGCAAAGCTAGCGTACTTAGGGTGAAGAATTCCGATAAGCTCCGCAAGTTAAAGCCGTGGTAGCCCTCTGTGGCTACGCGTGGGAGATGGCTAGCTGAAAGCTAGTGACTTCTCTCGTGCTACAACGAAAGATTGGCTAGCGCTAGCGCTAGAGACGACTCTCAGTTACACAGAGAGCGGATTTTTGCCACCACGTTAAAAAGAGCGCCAACCAGTTTTTAGCGAGGGCTTTGCCGTAAAGTGCTAACGCCAGTTTGCTACGCTGTTAGGTAGTTGTTTGGTAAAGTGCTAGTTCAAGCGTTTGAGAGTCTGCCTGCGCTTCACCTGTTTTGAGTTTTTCCCGAAGCTAGCTATCGCTAGCGAGAAAGCACTACCGTGTAAATCCTGGGGAGGTGCCTGGGGGTTGGTGGTAGGCTAGTTAGTAATGCTACCGCACCCCTCATTCTCAGCGTCCAATGACCAACAATTGCCTGCTCGAACGACTTCTGGGTTAGCTCTGCTGTCACAGAGCTGCCTCAATGTTGTTCCAATGTCAGCATGCCCTTTTTGCCCACCCTGTTCGAACCTGGCGCCGTGGATCAAGAGTGCCTCTGAGTCAGGCCTGTCATCTGTGTGGCAAAGCCAATTCATTTGTTAGCGTTGCGGGATTCCGGGTGTGCGTCGTCACATGTAGCGAACTGCGCGGAACCCCTACAGCCGCCAAGATATCTTTGCCAGCGCCCACCGCTTTTGTTCAGTTGCAGCAGGTGTTTAGGGCCTGGAAAATCATGAGGTCTTTCTGGAGTGTTTAGGGCTCACGGGCTTTCAGCATTAGGCCACCTGTGCGCCTGCCACGGTTTTCAAGGTTCCCAATGTTGAGGTTTCAAGTTTTTGTTGATCCGTTTTTTCAGAGAGAGGGTGTTGCTTAAGGGTTCTTGGGTGTTAATTTGTGTCGACATTGGACAGTTCATGGTTTATCGCTTTTGGGGTTCAGGGTGATTAGATTAGGGTTTGGATGGGGCAGGGCTTGAGGGTGAAAGCTTTTGGGCCTTAGGAATGCGAATTAGGGTTGTGATGGATTCAGCCCGTGTGGTGGCTCTTTCTTAATCAATCGCGCAGGCCGCTGCCGATTGATTCAAATACGCGTTCGCCCGATCCTTGCTCTCAATTTGCGAGCAGGGCCATGTTGCAAGAATGACATTGCACAGATTGCAACTGCGAATTTTGGGGCAGCAACAAGTCATGGGAGGACGCCATTTCTTTTGACCATTCAGCATAATCATATGCGGATTCATAATGGTAATGTTCCTGAGCCATGTTTGAGCGGCATGTCTTTTCTCAAGTTCTTTGCTTTTGTGCGCTTTGGTTGGACGATGTTGGACGCCAGGCTAAGTCTAAGTCTTGCCAATTTCGGACGCGCATGCCTGCTTTCCATGTCACTGTGGTCTGTTTCCTGTCCCTGCAAGCCAAGCCAAGGCGGGCCAACCCACCACCGCTTTCAGACCGGTCAAGTTTTTGGTGTCTCAAGCTTTTTGCGCCTAACCAGAACTGCAAGCCCCACCAAAAACGTTTGCTTCCAAAAGAGTTCCATGTCATCTTCACGGTAGTTTGGAATCTGGGGGGCCGCCTCTAGACTGCGGCCAAGCGGAACCTGGGGAGTGTTCCTGTCATGTCCAGCAGCTGCGATCACGTTGAACTGCTGTAGATTCAGTTTGAACGGTACTTTTCTCCCTCACTGAAACGATTCACTGAGCACTGAGGCCTCTCCAATCAATTTGTCTCTAAAACAGGTCTTCAATGTGCAGTGAATGTGGTTCATATTATTGAATATTAATTGCAGCAATTCCTTCTAGTTTTAGGCGAACACCTTTTGTGTAGCCACCACGCGAGGCAAATGTGACATGCCGTCTTGCTCGGTTGTGTAATCGTAGCCGACCCTGCGCCATTCAGAGCTTTTGGGACAATTTTTCCAAACTCTTTTGGCCAAAGTCTTACTCAACTTCTTGTGGTCCTTTTTCCAAGTCCCCTGCAGCTTCATCCTTTCCATGAATCGAAGTTTGGCCTTGTGCATGTGGGAAGGCCAGAAACTCGAATGGCACAATGACAACTCTTAACTGTGCACGTGTGAACGCGTGGTCAACGTCAATCCCCTTTACTGCTCAGAGTGTTTCCATTTTGAGCCTTCCGCAGAAGGTCAAGCTCTCCAGAGCTGCTTGCCGCCGGGTTTCGCGACTCCTGAAAGCCAGTAACGCAAAGCACTACGGCTCACGCGTTTCCAACTCTGCGTCCGTGTGGCAGTGCTAAGAGTATTTGAGATTCTTACCTGCAGCAGGCTGAATGGAGTTCGCCGTTGTCTGCCTGTGGCCTTGCAGCCTTTCTCGCAAGGCCATCTTGGTTTGAAGATTTGTGAAAGTGTTATAGCCTGCAGACACGGATGGGGATGCGAAGCAGACATACCAGTAGGGTATGTGCAGCAGCGGTTTGCCTTTGAAGACGGTCTTGCAAAGAGCAGGTTTGGGGCCTGCAGGTTGGTGCGCGTATGCAGCTTTGCCGCACAGTTCTGACAATCAAGTGCCATCAGCTGCATCACCCAGGTTTTGTCTGGTCTTTTCTTCATATATGCGGAGGCGACGCAGCATTTACTAGCAAGATCATGCGATGACCGTCAGAATGTTGCATGCTCAGTCTCTGTAAGGGGTACCGTGGCTTCCAACAGAAGTTCTCACCATTGGTGGTACGGCGAGCACTGTTGCTGGACGGGCAGCAGCCTGTCGTCCGACAGGCAGTCATGGTAGCAACCAATCCAAACCACAGAAGTTCCATCTGTCAATCTTCCGTTGTTCCGCAAGGAGAATTGTTTTGGTTGTTTCCTTGAATACTGTTTGGCCATGGCATTCACGTAGCATGGTTTGTTGCAGCTGTGGACTGTGGAGGTGCTTGCACCTGCATATGCCATGGCTTTCTTCCACGCGCACAGGAAACGCAAGGCAGAATGTTTAGCATTGCCAGTTACTCAGTTGAGAGTTAAATTGAACACTCTTTAGGTGGTGTCCTGGGCACTGATAGCGGGAATCATGATCATCGTTGCCATTGCAGGGATCACAGCCGGACGTCCTTGACAGCTGTCGCAGCCGTGAGTGCTTTGCGTGCCGAGGTCAAGAAACTACCTTATCCCTACCGAGCAATTTTGGATGCGGGAGTATGCGCTGGCTTGTCCTGGGGCATGGGTGCCTTGCTTTGCCTTGCTTGTGAGTGTGACAAGAGAGGAGAGGGTCTCGGGAGCTAGCGATAGTAGCTTAGAATATTCTTTGTCATTCCCACCAAGGTTCCGAACCCCCTTCTCCATTGAACAATGGACGTTGATTGAGTACGTGTGACGATAAAGCAGCACCACCATCCCCTGCGACGGAGGTGCCACTGTATACATCTACGCGAAGTCTCTGACGTCAGGGAAAGCCCCGGAGATCGATCCGCAGAATTCTGAGAGTAGTGTGTCATTTGCATTGCTGAGCTCTTTCCGCTGTAGCCGAGGTGCCTGCCTCAAGAACCATGATTCGTTCATGGACGTTGTCGCCGTCTGCAACACCAAACGAGGGAAGGTCGTCTGCACAAGACAGCGCAAGTTACAGGTACCTGTACGTACTTGTAAGCAGCCGAAGCCATCGCCTCCAAAAAGCTCTTGCCCTTCGTGCTCAAAGAAGACCCACGCAAGGTGCTGCAAATGTTTGAAATGCCAGACTGTGGACAAAGCACAGCCAAACCCGGCAAAGCTGGTATAGCCTAAAGTTGCAAAAGATCCTTGAGGAAAAAAGCCGGCAGGACAGGAATCAATGCTGTCCATGGACACCATGCATGGAAGCATGCTGCCGCTGCTGCAGCTGCTACTGGCCCAGGAAGGAAGTCAGTATGAGTCAGCGCCAAACCTGCTCGAGTGCCTTTATTTGAGCACTACGCCTGCTTCCGCGCCCGCCCATGGAGATATGGGACATCTTGTAATTGCCCAAGAAGGTTAGGAGCCAGTAAGCTCTGTGGCAGCGCGGGGTTCTAAGGAGCTTCTGGCAGCAAAATCACGCTGCTTGTGTGCTGCTGGTGGGCCTTTTCCTCCTCCTCTGCTTAATCGTGGCCATCCTGGCGTCTTGCTTCTTCAAGCTCTGCCCTGCTGCATCCAAATTCTGGCTGAAGTGGACGCGTATGGTGCCAGGACTCTATGAGGAGCAAGCCTGCAAAGCCAGTATCGCCATACAGGCCACAAGATACTGTTGCTGATGGATGTCAATAAGTTATGGAGATGACAGCAGGGATCGGGACTATTTGCACCATCAAGATCTGGTGGATCCGGAGGCAAAGCTGAGCTGTTTGAGAGCTGCGTTCATGCTCCAATCCCACCTGATTCTCCTTTCCGCCATTCACAAACACATGCTTGGCACGGAAAGGTGAGGAGGCATCACCTGGACTTTAATGCGCACCTGCATGACCGCTTTGCTGGCCAACGGTTCGTGCAGGCCGTGCTGCGTTTCTCTGACCTCGCCCACTCCATTCCACTCCACCCTGGTCTGCAGGTGAAAGCGGAGCCCGGTTGCTTTGTTGCGTTCTCCTACAGCACCTGCAAAGAGGCCTGCAGATGCTGTACCCACTCGCAGATTTCATGTTAGTGAAAGCAGTGGCATGGGCGTTGTTTGTCTTCGGTTGACAATCGGGTCCCGGAACTTCGGTTTAAATGAAACAATTCCAGCAAAGCAGCCTCAGTAGCAGCCATTGACGATGTTGCACGGGGCCTGGGGGCCTTTCTGGGAGTGTGAATGCTTGTATGCACGAGTCACAGGTCATGAGTGACCATGCATCCTTCAGTTCGAATCCTTTCCCGGACGGACGTCTTGTGGCGCTGAACACGATGGGCAAGGCCGTCTTGGAACCTCAAGCTACATAGTTCCATTTGGGACTTGCCTCCCAGGCAGACCATTCCCGCGTCCTGCGTTATGTGCACAAGCACTACACACAGGCCCCAAGACTGATCCGTTTGGAAGATCATCGAGGGTCCCGTCCAGGATGAGGTGAAGGGAATCCAAGACAAGATTCAGAAGGCGAGGGCGAGGGATGCGCGAGACCATGCAATCTGCAGATTTAGCAGCTCAGGTCATAGAGGTGCACACCGAACAGCTTTCTGCCGGCGAGGCCAAGGCCTGAAAAATCACTGTGGGGCAGCATGTCACAATGCAGGTGGATGTTGCTCGCTGGGCCAAGCGCATCCATATGGAAACTTGGCATGCAAGAGTTCATCTTGGGGTTGCAGCTGCCATTGCCTCGACAGCTGTCTCTAGTGGGCATCGGTCTCTGTGGCCAAGTCCAGCACGTTGCTACGTCTGGGCTTGGACCTGGCAAGCTATGGACGCGATGCATTGGACGAGGCAGCTGTGACAAGCCGTGACAGACTGTGGATCGATGTGGATCGGTTGAGACCGTTGAGCAGTTGACAGCAGGTCATAGACCTCAATGATGCCATGGTTGCTTTGGTGGCCCCTCTTGGGGGAGTAGGCTCACAACTTGGAAGTTGACAAAGTTAAGGTTGACTTTTAAGACAAAGCCTGGGTTTGCCAGGTCTGAAGTACGAAACCCTCCCTTGGAACTGGTGGCTCTGGGTTCTTGTAGGCTCGTGTTGTTATTCATGGGCAAGCAGAGCAGCATTTGTGGCAGGCCTGGTGCGCAGCTTCGTGCCCGTGCTCCGCATGGCTTGGAGCTCGACCGAGCCGAAAGTGTCGCCCAGGATATGGTCGCGAGGGTGCAGTGCATTGCAATGCAGCCTTGTCACTCTGAGGCTTTTCAGCTTGGTGTGAGGACAACTTGGCAGATCATCAGGCCTTTCGGTGTAGCCAATCGGCACTTTTGCATGCGCCATTCCGTGCAACCAGTGAGACAAGCAACATGCTGGAGGCCAGATATCACGATACTCATGCCACCCAAGCGACCGCGTATGGGCCAGTGTCTCTCGAGATGAGTCAGGGCATGTCATGCAAACTATATGCTTTGAGGCTTGTGGTGGCATCCACACCTCCTGCCCTTGGTTCCAAGGTGTGTGACAGTAAGCACAGAAATGGCCCTGGAACTGCCAGCCAGTCTCAGGTACTTTCTTTTGCTTCACGGCCTGCTTGTTAAGGCGATTGTTCTTGGCAGTGTACCTGTGAATTCTTCGACTGAAAAAGCAAGGGCGCCTCTGACGGCTTGCTGGCAGACTTGCATAGGGCCTGCTCCTTGAATACTGCGATGTCAGACATGACGGCAACAGCTGAGACTCCTGAGGGTGTTGCCACGGGTGACCTGGCGTTAGCAGAATGCCTCACGCTTATGGTCCGCAATTCGTCGCCTTCCTGCTTCCTCATATATCACTAGAGTAACTAGAGAAAGCACTAGCATGCACCAGGTACAGCTTATGGTCAACATGACATCCGCCAATTCTTTATGCTCGTCCGAAGCTTAGGTTGGTTCAGGTGATAAATGCTCTGAGTTGAGCAGTAGCAGGTCTTGATTGCGGTGCCTGAGAAAGCAGGCTGGTTTTTCGGCTTGCAACAGAGAAGGCAGCCTTCCAGCAGGTTCGGAGCGGCACACCCTTGAGTCTCGAGCTGACAATGGAGCGCCTCAACCCGAAAGGTTTCGGAGGACTCCTCTGGAGCTGCAGACAGCTTTATTCAAGAGGCCTGCGTTCTGTTTGTTTGGTGTGGTGCGTTCTGCACAGTGAATCTTAGCTCGTTCGTATTTTGCTGCAAGTAGCGAGACTTGCGGCCAATGTGTGGCTATGCTGCCATAGAAGGCACATTCGTCGAAACAGCATGCACTCGTGAAGCTTTGAGCCCGAGGTGCTTGTTCTGTTTGTTCTCATCTTACGAAAGTCTGGAGTGATGCGAGGTGAATGTGCATGTAGGGTTTGGGGCGGGTTTCCTGACAGTTTCCAGTTCTGACCGGAAAGCCTTTCAACAAGGCACTGCGCAGTGCAGGCCACACACCGACTGAACAGATCACATTTGAACTGGTGGCAGAACAGGATCGTCTGTTTTTCGCACATTGCATCATGCTCGCAACATCATGGTCGGAAAAACTCTCTCTGGATGCATTGTAATTGTGCGCCCAATCTGCAGCTGTCCAAGACGGCAGTTGCAGGAAGTCGAGGTCGGTCCGTGCCTGCGTTGCCTTGTCTAAGTAACATCTGCAGAGAGCACGCCATGTGTTGCTTAACCTGATTCAGGGGATAGTAGTATATTTCTTTTTTTTGGCTTTGGGAGCTGGAGGTTCCCAAGGAAAGACCGAAAGAAGGAAAGAACCAACGAAAGAAAGAACCAACGAAAGAAATAGATAAAAAAAGACATAACGGAAGGAATAAAGACAATGGGAGAACGGACGTGGACTTTACTCACCCAACAAGCCACCGATGGCGTGCAGGAACGGGAGCAGATGCATCAGTACATGCGTGAGCTGCGATTTCCATGAGAACAAGCGATGGTGCCGTGTGAACGACGGCGAGAACTGGAGAAGAATAATGATAACAAATGTGTTTGCTCTGCACGCTAGCGGGAACAATGAAGACGCCACATAACTTCCGCCAAGTACGTGAAGGCAGCTATCAAACAACAACTGGCGCATAATAGGCCGATTCTTCCGCGGACCCGCGCCTCCCTCTGCGGCCCGGCCTCCGCGTCTCGGCCCACGCGGCGCGGCCCAGGCGGCCCGGTTTCTGCGGTTCAGCCTCTGTACTGCTGTTGCAAGTGCTTCCTTTCTCACTGCTGTTTTCATTGATCTTCTAGTTTTTGGGCGGAGGACGTACAATGACGTACATCCTATCTTTGGGGTTAGGCCACGCATGCCCACAACAACAACAACGACGACAACAGCAACAGCAACAACAACAACAACAACAACAACAACAACAACTACCACTACCACTACTACTACTACTACTACTACTCCTCCTACTGCTACTACTGCTACTGCTACTGCCACTGCTACTGGAAATCGGAGGTTTTAGGGGTTCGCTTGGGTTTGTTTAGGGTTTAGCATTTGGGGTTTGCTTAATGTTTAGAGTTTGTTTAGGATTTGGGTGCGTTTAGGGTTTAGGGTTTGGGGTTCCTTTAGGGTTCAGGGTTTGGGGTTTGAGTTTGGGGTCGGTTGAGGATTGACGCTTTGGGGTGTGTTCAGGGTTCAGGGTGTGGGCTTTGTCTAGCGTTTAGGGTTTGGGGTTTGTTGAGGGTTAAGGGTTTGCAGTTTGTTTATGGTTTAGGGTTTGGGGTGTGTTTAGGGTTTACGGGTTTGTTTAGGGTTTGGGGATTGTTTAGGGTTTGGGGTTTGTATAGGGTTCGTGGTTTTTCTAGGGTTTAGGGTTTGGGGTTTCTTTAGGGTTGAGGGTTTGGGGTTTGTTTAGGGTTGAGGGTTTGGGGTTTGTTTAGGGTTTCGGGTTTGGGTTTGTATCGGGTTTACGGTTCTGGTTTGTTGAGGGCAGCGTTTGTTTCAGGGTTTAGGGTTTGGGTTTAGGAGCTGGGGTTTAGGGTTGGGGTTGGTATAGGGTTTAGGGTGTAGGGTTTGTTTGTTTAGGGTGTAGGGTTTGGGGTTTGTTTGGGGTTTGGGAATTTGGGTTTGTTTGGTGTTTAGGATTCAGGCTTTGTTCAAGGTTTAGGGTTTGGGTTTGTTTAGGGTTTAGGGTTTGGGGTTTGTTTATTAGGGTTTAGGGTTTGATTTGTCCAGGGTTTAGGGTTTGGGGTGCAGTGTTTAGGGTTCAGGGCTTAGGGTTTGTTTAGGGTTTAGGGGGGTTTGTTTAGTGTTGAGGGTTTGGGGCGTGTCTAGGGTTCAGGGTTTGGAGTTTGTTTAGGGTTTAGGGTTTGGGGTTTGTTTAGGGTTTAGGGTTTGTTTAGGGTAGAGGGTTTGGGGTGTGTTTGGGGTTTGGGGTTTGTATAGGGTTCAGGGTGTGGGGTTTGTTGAGGATTAGGGTTTGGGGTTTGTTTTTGGTTTTGGGTTTGGGGTGTGCTTAGGGTTTACGGGTTTGTTTAGGGTTTGGGGGTTGTTTAGGGTTTGGGGCTTGTATCCGGTTTAGGGTTTGGGGTGTGTTGAGGTGTTTAGGGTTTAGGGTTTGCTTAGGGTTTAGGGTCCGCCAGCCAACTCCCTCTCTGAAGGAGATCTGTCCTAGCCTCTGAATAGAAGTGCTCAAACACCCGAAAGCTTCAATTTTCAAATGTTTTTTCACTTTGCCGGGCGTGCTCCTCCCTTAAATGATTTTCCACTTTGCAGAAGGTTCCAGCAAGGTCCGCTGCCCAACATTCGCTGTAAATGCTCAAAACTGGCTGCCGAAGCCTAAAATTCGCTGCAAATGCTGAAAAACGGATTCCAAATGCACCAAAATTGGCATAAAATGCAAGAAAGCCCACAATTTTCTTTGACGAATTTCAAGTTCATACAGAAGCTGCTTAGAATTGGCTGCAAAATCCAAAAATTGGCTAAAATAGCAAAATTGGTTGCAAAGCCGCAAGGCCGCCTCCCACCAGTGATTCAATGTCATCGACTCTATGCCCTTGCTCGCGGAGCTGGATAAAGTTTGATGACTTTCACATCGGACTGACAACAGCTTGGGCTGTACCGTCAATTGGTACAAGGCGGTATGCAGCGATGGCCTAACAGATCGCCTGATTCATGCCGGAAAGCCGAGCTTGCGGAGAACTCCAGATCAAGGATCTTCGACAAGCACTTCCGGTGGGCGAAAGCCCAGCCCAGCATTCCTCTTCCTTCCATGTCAGGTCTGATTCGCGCAGACTGGGGAGAGCAGCTTCGCCTTGAGCGTGGCCCAGACGAGGAGATTGTGCGGGATGCTCCCATTGTGAATCAGGATGACTAAGCGGGTTACCCTGGCAAGAACCGGCATGTGCAGCCAAGACGTGACCTTGGAATGCGTGGCTCAAGCTATGCTGCAAAAGTGCGTGAGAGTGCTTTGCGTTGCTTGTTGGGGCTGCTTACTTTCAGATTGGCAGCGGAGCTTCGAGCTCGACCAGGGGACGGCTCCTTTGGGTTTTGTTCCTGTTTTCTCCAGGAGGGGTTCAGCTTAGGCTTCTTCTCCTTTTCATAGGTCCAGCTTGCGGCAGCCATGTCATCCTTGCTGGACGGTCTTTCCTTCAGTCGCTTCATGGAGGTGACCGATGGCGAAGGCACCACCGAAGGGAAGTACGGCATCCCGAGATTCGACGGGAGCCTGCACCATCTTCAAGAATACGCTTTCCGCGTTCGCATGCGAGCCCTCAAGGAGAAGGACCTGGACACCTCCGAGCTGAAGAAGATTGGTCCTTTGGGCATCCGCCTTGTCGAGGGACTTCGCGGACCGGCTCTTCACATTGTTAAGCAGCTTGATCCTGAGACCTTGGCTTCGGACAAGGGTGCAGAGGCGATCGTCAAGAAGCTGACGGAGACGCTGAGACCCAGGCGCCAGCAAGAAGCCAGGGAACTTTATCAAGCCGGGGCCCGAGAGAACGGCCCGCTTAGCAGGCAGTGTGGAGAGTCGATGGCGATGTTCACGCTTCGACGCAAGACTTGGTGGACCATCCTCCAGGATCTGGACAGCGATATTCGTTTGCCAGAAATCATTTTAGCAGAGCAAGTGCTTCAGAACTCCAAAATCACGGACGACCAGGCCTTGATGGTGCGCACGGTGCTCGGCAACAAGCTGACGGTGGCTGGTGTTTGTGACGAGTTGTTAAACCAACACGGGTCCATTCACTTGAAAGAGAAGAAGCAGGTGGCCCCATGGCGTCCGCGTTTCGGCGGCGGAGGCAAGCCTGGCTTCAAGGGCAAGTCCAAGCAGTGGCAAGGCTACGCGGCGTACCACGACGACTTCGCCGAGGACGTCCCCTACGCCGGCGACTACGACCACGGCACGACCGAGCGCTACGTGGACGAGAGCGGCGACCAAGCCTACCGCGCGGGCTACGAGGAGGTAGACTACGACCACCTCGAGGGCGACGACCCGATTCTCAACGCCTTCGCTGCGATGGTCGCCGACGGCCTCGACGAGAACGTCGACCAGGAGAGTGCGGAGTACGCGGCGGACATCTTGCAGGCGGAGTCCGAGGTCTTCTTCGCAAGGCAACAGGCTCAGTCTCGAGGACACACCGGCTTCAGCAAGCGGTACGAGGTCAGAGGAGAGCTCTCGCTTGAAGAGAGGAAAGCTCGGGTCTCGGCGCTGAAGGCCCGAACCTCGTGCCGACGATGCGGTCAGAAGGGGCATTGGTCTGGCGATCCAGTTTGCCCAAAGGGCGCCTCGAAAGGCAAAAGGCCCGGCGCTTCGACAGCCAGACCCCGGCGGCCGGCAAAGGAAACAAGGGCAAACCCGGGAAGGGCAACGTCAAGCCGCGGACCGTCTACTTCGCCGTGACCGACCAGGCGACCTCGAAGGACAGGATCGGCTACATGGCGTACCACGGCAAGTACTCCCAAGTTCCGCCTCCGGCGTCTTTGGCTTCCACGGCGGCACCGTCAAGCAGCGGCCCGGCTTCTTCTTTGGACGGCGTGGCGCCGGCTTCACTGACCTCTTTGCTGAGCTGGACCGGACCGAAGTCGAAACCGAAGGCGAAGGCGGCAAGCTCAACTCCGCCCCCGAAGGCTTCTTTGACGGCTACTCCGACAAGTTCTTCGTCGACCTCGGCGGCATCCACTGAGATTACTTCATC